AAAAGAGTTAGAACTGATTGAGAAATTTCATAATATGCGTTTTGTGAGTAAGGATACTTCTTATGGAGTTAAGCTTTTATTATTAAGATCTGACTAGTGATATCCTTGAGAAGAATCGAGAAAGTCAGAAATCTGGGTTGAATAGTGAATTAGTTGAAATTGATAAATTAGAGTCGAAGAGTGGATTGTCGGGTTTGTGGAAATAATACCACGCGGTGTTATGATAGAGTATGTATATCAGATGTTGTTGAAGGGAGTAGGAGTACTCGTGAAGAAATACATTGAGGTAGATGGAGTATCCATCTCGGTGCTATGAAGAAGTAACTGAACTTGAGTAGATTGTTTTTGAGACCATGGATAAGGAGAGGTGGAATATGCTAGTTAGAATTGTCGGAATTCGAAGAGTGAATATCAGAGACTGTTGAGTCTGATGTAGTCGTTAAATATTCTAGAGTGGAAATCAGGTAGTATTTTCACGAAATTGGTGTTGAGATTTCCAAAGAATTTGTAAAGACATAATTTTAATTTGAATTGTTAGGAGTGGATTAACTATTCCGTGTTGAGGATATACGAGATGCATATTGAGAAAGTGGTGAAGTTGGATGAGATACTGACGAATATTGTGTCAGATGGAAATTTGAGGTTTATATTGAGATTTTGGAGGGGCTTACAGGAAGCTTCGGGTACTAAGTTGAAGCTGAGTTCGACCTATCATCCGCAAACTGATGGTCAGTCAGAGAGGACTATTGAGTCTGTAGAGAATTGGTGAGAGCTTGGGTGTCGGATCAAGGTGGAGCGTGGGATGATTAATTATCGTTGATTGAGTTACCTATAATAACGGTTACCATCCTAGTGTCGGAATGACACTATATGTGGCTTGGTGAGATAGGGAGTGTAGGACTCTCCTGTGTTGAAATAAATCGAGTGAGAGTGTTGTACTCAGACTTGAAGATTATGCTTGAGATGGCTGAGAAGATCGAGAGGATCCGAGGCAATATGTATTTTGAGGGTCACGCCGGTGACTGGTGTTGGTCGAGCTTCGAAATCTCAGAAGTTCGCACGTGTTCTGTAGTTGTATCAGAGTGGCGCATCGGAGGCATGGAAGGAGTAACATGTTAGACTGTTTTTCTGTTGTCGCTGTGAATTGGCATGATATGTTTCATGTGTCTTAGTCGAGAAAGTACATTGAACCAGGTGGATGATGTACAAGTGAAAAATATTCCGATTGTTGAGGCATTGCTAGTTCGTTTTGGCGAGCGAGGAACAACTCCGAAGGGAGGAGATATCTTTGGTGAAAGTAGTATGGGGAGGTGCTGCAGAAGGCAGTGTGACCTGAGAATTGGAATAAAAGATGCGGGGAGCGTATCCGGAATTATTTCCATCAGATAATTTTCGAGGACGAAAATAATTAAAGTGGGGGAGAGTTGTAACACCCATTTTAATTATTTAGTCATTTTATTATTATTTTAAATATTATATGTTGATGTGCCCTTTGGTAGGGTGTATTTGATGATGTTTGGTGGGTGTCCCTGAGATGGGAGATCATTGGTGGTAATTTGGTGAGTTTATAATAATATAAGAAATAATAGTAATATTGGTGGTGGTATTAATATTATTATTATTATTATTATTATTATTATTATTATTATTATTATTATTATTATTATTATTATTATTATTATTATTATTATTATATTTATGATTATTATTAATATTTGTAGTAATATTATTAATATGGAGAATATAATATTATTATTAATATAGTTATTATATTATTATGATTTTTGGTGTGAATATGATAATATAATGAATAATAGTAATATTGGTGGGGGTATTATTATTATATATTATCATATTTATTAGTATTATTAATATTATTATTATTTTGGTGAGATAATAATATTATTATTATTATTATTATTATTATTTTGGTGAGATAATAATAATAATAATATTATTATTATTATTAATAATATTATTATGATTAGTATTATTAATATTAGTAATATTATATTAGTATTATTAATATTAAGATTATTATTATTCATATTATTTTATTATTAGTATTAATATAATTGTTATTATTATCATTAGTATTATTATTATTATAATTATAATTATTGTTGGGTGTATTACTATTATTATTATTATGTTGAATATTACTATAATATTATAATAGTATTATATATTATTATTATTATTATTATGATTATTATAATTATTATATTAGAATTATTATTGGGAATATTAGTGGTTGAAATAAGTAAAATAAGAGGTGGAAGGGTTATTGGGAAGTTAGAATGGAAATATGAAAAGTCATGATAGAAACCGTGAGGAAGGAAATATGAAGGGGTAGCAAGGAGATATTAGAAAAGTTGGAATAGAGAGAAAAGGGATTACCATAGATCGTGGGAAATTGGTGTGATAATAATAATAATAATAATAATATTATTATTATTATTATTATTATTATTATTATTATTATTATTATTATTATTATTATTATTATTATTATTATTATGTTATTTTTATTAGTTATTATTATTATTATTATATTATTTTTATTAGTTATTATTATTATTGGGATAGGAAATAAAAAGGAAAATAGAATATGAAGGGATGGGGGAAGTATTAGAGAAAATAACACGATAGAAAGATGGAAGAGAGAAAGAGCGATAGAAAGAGAGAAGAGGAAAGAACGAGAGAAGTGAGAAGAACGAAGGAAAAAGGGAACGAAGAACGGAAAGAAAAGAGGAGGCCAAGAGACCAAATCCAGGAAGAATTTCATCGATCAACCGATTAACAAGGTAAGGGGGGAGAAACTTGATTGGGAATGATATATACATGTATAGGGTAGTGGGGATTCCTTAACCCCGTAGGAATGTATCGTTGATGAAGTTTTATATTGACATGCTATTGATTGTTGAGTTATGTTGATGTTGATGGATTGAAATATGTTGAGTGTTGGTGAATTGTTGTTTTTGGTTAATTTGGCGTATAGGTTGGGTTTACGGTTTTAGGGAAGTTCTGTGTGACCTTTTTGATGTGTCGATAGATTGTTTAAGTGATGACTTTGGAATAATATGTATATGATGATGTACGGATGTTTGATGTTGCCATTGTTGATTGACTGTTGGTGTTGGTTTGGTTTGAGTAAGGTTCAGAGTAACTCTAAAGTGTCGGTAGTGTGCCGTAATGTTGATCTGGAGTAGAATTATAGGAAGATTGATAAGCCTAATATGCATTGGTCGTAATACGGATAGTATAGGAAGTGGATGTTATAGAATAGGCTTGAATTAGAGAAGAGTGAGAATTCTGAACTGTGAGAACTTGAGAAGTCGCAGGCAACTCGCTAGCACTTCGCTTAGCGAGAAGGCAGCGAGCGTTCGCTAGGTGCTCGCCTAGCAAGTGAGGTAGCGAGTGAGTCTAGTAGGTTCTGTTTGCCTTTGCGAGGAGGTTCGCTAAGCGAACAGGTAGCGAGCATTCGCTGGGAGCTCGCCTAGCGAGGGTGTAGCGAGCGTAGCAGAATGGGGTTTTTCTATGTTGTTATACTGTGTGCGCTAAGAGTGTAGTGCCCTTGGACTTTGTTGATTATAGGGGAGATGATTGAGTGTTATAGAGTGAGTACTCGGTGATAGTATGTGATTTCCGTTACTAATTATTTAAATGGATAATTAGTTGGTGTATGAATCATGCGGAGCATGGTGTAGTGATCAGTAGGATCGTGTATTCCCGAGTGGTGGGACGTGTTTATATCTTGGTGATAAAGTATGAACTTGTTTACTTGGTGATGGTACTCGTTTTCCTTGATATTGTTGGTGAACAATTGGTTAACGTATATGTATGTAGTGATCAGTAGGATCGTGTGTTCCCGGGTGTTGGGATGTGGTTATATATGGTGTTATAGTATGAATTTATTTACTATCTGATTGATTTATATGGTGTTGGTGTAATATATCTACACATATATGCATTGATGTATGATGATATGATCAGGAGGATCGTGTGCACTTAGTGTGCCTAAATATGATAGTTATGCATTGGTGTGTGCATATCATGGTGTTTTGGTGGGATGAATCATGTCTCAGGAGGAGCGTAAGTGATTCATCCGTACTCCTTGGTGGAGAATGGTGGGGGATAGATCATGTCTCAGGAGGAGCGTAAGTGATCTATCCAGGTTCGATTGAATGAACCAATGAGTCGGTACCGCATGCATGGTGTTGAGTTGCATATTTGCATTATAATATGTTATATTGTAATTTGAACAGTAGGTTCGTTATATGGAGTTGTTGGGGTGAATATTGGTGTGTTGGTGTGTTTTACTACCTTGTTTACATGTATTACATTACCAATATATTTTTGATCATGTTTTCTCACCCCTTGGTTGTTGTTGTGTCTGTGCTTCTCCGGAAGTACAGATAATCCAGGTACTTAGATAGCTTGGATGGTGGTGTGCCAGTCGAGTCTAGGATGCTCTGATACGTAACACGGGATATGGGTGTTTTAATTGTTTTATGTCAAACTTGTTGTAATCCTGTGACGTATCACTTTTTTTTTTGTGAATTATAATAATAAAGATTTTACGAAATTTGGCGGATGGCCGAGAATGTTGGAATAATGTTTTCCGCTGTATTATTTTTGAGAATAATTAATAAAGTATTTTTATAAAAATTTGGTGATGTGATATCCCACTATTTTGGGGAAAACTCTGATGTTTATTTATAATGTTTATATTTTATTTAATTTGGGAAGTGGGGTGTTACACTTCCCTCATTCTAGTTTGGAGTCCACCACCTATCTTCACTAACCGGGCATGATTGTCGTCAAGTTGCATAATTTTAAATTCACTTTGATGATAGTTTTTTTCTCATGAATCTCCATTTAAACATATGTGACACATGTACTTTTTTTTATCACAAAAATATCAATAGAGAATAAATGTGAAGACATATTTTTACATAATTGACATCATTCATGTCAAAAAAAATCTTAAATATTTGTCACAACATCGCAAAAAATATTTGATTCCAAGTATCTGGAACACCAGGCAAACACCAATGTATGCAATCAGCATTTAATGGATTTCTCCTTTCATCTTCAGTTAACAATTTTCCACCAGTTTCTGTATAAACCGATGAATGTCCATCAATTCTGTACTCTGAGATTTGTGTTATGTTAATGACAGTTACCGGAACTTTCATTGTCTTGATAACTTTTGCTACCACACTCATCATACCTTTGTTTGAACCACTTCCCCAATGATTCTTCTTTTTTACTGGCTTTGTTTCGTTGAAACATTTTATACCATCTTTGTTTCCCCAATCAACACTCCTGAAAAAAGATTTCACACCATTCTTAGTCAAGTGTTCACTAAATTTGTTTCTTCAATATTGTGTTGTTCAATAAAGGTTTAAGAGTTTTATAGATATGTAGTACGACAACGTAATGTTGTTTTGTTCAATGTTGTAATGTACGAGCGTCACACATCAATTTAAAGAGTGTCTGGAAAAAATATTTTTTAAGATACTTGTTTGATTTTTTTGACACTAATCTATTTGATTTTTTTGACACGTATCATACGAGCGACACACATATCAGATACTACGACACAACTACTTTTAGAGGTGTCTGCTTCATAGTCTATTAACAATACTATTTCAATGAAATACTAGAAAAAATGGAAGATAGTTACTGAAATATAAAGTTCGAGAGAGAGTGTGAGAAAGAGAAAGAGACTTTGTATGAGCAGGAGACATAGTTGTGAAGAAGACTCTAGTTTTGTTTGGATTGATAGTTGAGTCCACCCAATTAGCCCAAGTTCTCAAACCTAAGTTGTAAGCAATTGATGTATCCAATTCCTCATACCCTTCTTCTCCATTGCTAAATGAACCCCACCTACATTTTAATTAAAAAAAAAAGTTATTTTTTTCACATAAAATATTCAACTTTTCTTAGAAATTTCTATGAAAAATTAAAGCATTGAAGATGACTTACAATGCCTTAATTCTAAGACCACTCATCCACCAAACATAGGAATTGAAAACAAGAATATCAACTCCTGTCCAATTTTTGGCACGTTCAATGATTTCATCAACTTTTATTATTCTCTTCTTTGGATCTCCTATTATGTTAATATCAGTGTTGGACTCCACAAGAAATGGTGCCCAATAGAATTCTATGCTAGCATTATATTCCTATATCAAATCAAACACACATCATTAAAATTAGTTTTCATTTTTTAGTATAAATGTTCAATTCCAAGGAATTTTTCTAGTAGTTTTAGTTTAGATTGTCGTAGCCATGCAATTCGAATCATTTGGCCTAAATCGAAAGGCATGCATTAAAAAGGTTACAATTGTCGCATTCACGGAATTTAGACGGTTTGATCGAGATTAAATAACTCGTGTTTTGAGGATTAATCTGAACCATACGATTTAGATCAAAATACTTGAATTACATGTTTGCGACAATGTAGCTTTTTCTATTGCATAGAATCCTAATTTGATTACCTTGGCCTTGAAAACAGAATGAACTCGCCCTCGTTTCATCGACTTTTTCTTTTCGGGTATAATACCTTGAACCAAACAAACAAAAGATTCCCATTGATTTCTTTGAAGTGAATCTCCTACAAATAGAAGCCTTTTTCCTTGAAGTTTTTTGAGTGCTATCTCTGGATTAAATCTACCAAATATGGAAGATTAGCTATAAATTACAAACACCGGACATAACACACTGACAAATATATATCAAAAACTATTTGATTATTTGAAAAAATAGAGAAAACTGAATGTAATAACATATGTCAGTGTCGTATATGTGTCAGACGTTAGATACACTAAAGACAAGTAAAAGAAAACTTACCGAGGCAAGGTACAATCTTCTGGCTGCCATTCCCAATGAAGATAATGAGAATCATTCCTTCCATTCTTGACACAAGAAAATTGTTTATCTATATATGGACAACTCATATCAGAATACAAAGGTTTTATAGAATGGTTAAATATCCATTTTCCATTAGCAACATTGCATTCTTCCGGATCAAAATCAAACCTATCATCAATCCATGTTCCATTAATAACCACATCTTCTATTCTTCTATCATCTGTTAAACAATTTACATCATCAAAAAGCCAAATTGTATTAAGAATAAATATACAAAAAAAAGTAGAAACATAATAACTTACACGATTTCGATTTGGTGTGTTTTCTCGGACATGTTTTGAACTTGAAAATAGAAGATGAAGAAAGGAAACTGAGCCTCTCAGCATACAAAACAATTGTGAAGAGAAGAATACAAATGGTGGTGATAATGATTGGTAGAGGAAGCTTTTTTCTAAGATGATTCATTGTTTCTGAAGGGTTCATAGAAAAGGGTGGTGGCAGAATGTTAAAGGTAGTAGTAGTAGTAAAGATGAGAAGAAAGAGTATGAATTAATGCATAGAGAAATAGAATAATGATGATGAAATTGTTGAGATGGTTTAAGAGTTTTTTTTTTATTTTATATTTTGAGTAAGAGTGAAGTTAAAGCATATATGTTAATAATAGTGGTTAAGAGATGAGATTAGGTTTAAAAGATTAACTTCTTTAGTGGTTAAGAGTAAGACAAGACTTGAAAGATTAACAAACATTTTTGGCTTGTGTTATGGACATGTAGTGGAAACTATACAATGTTTCAACCACTGTTATTGTTTAATGCATATTTAAATTTGCAAAATGTCGACATGCAAATGTTGTTTCAACAAACCAATTATGGTATCAAACATCAATTTATGTAAGTGAAAGTTGGTGAGGTACATAGTTTGATAGTTTGAAAGTTGGTGAGGTACTATTGTAGGCTATATTAAAGTTAGTTATAGGTAGTTTTAGCAAGTGGATTTTCTGTTAGCAAAGTGATAAAGTCATATAAATACTAGGCTTGTAACCAATTTGTATATTCGATTCAATCTCACTTCCTTAACAACCTAAAGGTCCAATGGTAGGTATAGTTTCAATGGTGATTACTTATCCTCAATAGCAAGCTTAGTCAATCGAACTAGATGGAGTTTCTTGAACATCAAAAACTTCTTCCATAAAGATCAAGTTCAATTACAAGTGGGTCCATTTTTCTTCTCCACCTTGAATTCCTATATCTATTTTGGGTCGAAGCTATCGATGAAATTGTCAGACAACAATTACCTAAAATCAACAAGTTGAAGGAGTGAATGAACACACAAAAAATGCACATGTTTGTGGTGAAATTCCCATATTCCACTAGAATTCAAGAGCGAGCAAGATCGTCAAGAAGGTAACATTCTCGATAAATATGTGTCATGATTGTTCAGGACCATGTTTTATTCATATGGTTACTGTCTACAATTTACAAAAATGTATTACCTAGCGTGCTCTCGTGTAACATGCATATGAAGTTTGGGATAAGATTCACAAATACTTCAATGAAAAAATAAAAGTGAGAATTTATCAATTACATAAGGAATTGAAGTTAACAAAGAAAAGAAATAGTTCAATAGTCGCGTTTGTGTTGAGACTCAAAGCAATTGTTAATTCTCTTCTTATAGTTGGAGATTCAATTTTAGAACAAGATCAAATTGATACAATTTTTGATGGTCTTCTTGGAGAGAATTTTCCGTTTGTAATGAAGATGTATGGTAGCACTGTCCACGGTCTTTGCAAACGTTGCTCATGTTAAATATGTTTAGATCTCAACCTAAAATGTAGATCAAAAGGCGAAGTTTTCCTCACATATATATATACATTCACCAACTCGAGGAATCTGAGCAATGTGAGACTTCAAACAAACTCCAACATCAGAACTACCAACTTTAATACTCACCCTTACACCTAGTGTAGGCCTGAGCCAAATGTCCACATTGTAGTCCTTAACTCGACTATGATACCATGTTAAATATATTTGGATTTCAACCCCAAAAGTTAAATCAAATGGTGAAAATTTCCTCACATATTTATACATTCAACATCTCGAGAAACTAAACAATGTGAGACTTCAATTAAACTCTAACATCACAACTACCAACTTCAACAGCTCACACCAGTCAAGAAACCCATAGTTCACGTGGAGAACTCTTAGGTTCTCGTGGAAGAGGTCACCTTAACCATGGTTGTAGTCATGATAGGGAGCACTACACAATTAGTAATTGTCCTACTTGCTAATTATATGGCAATATGGTAATTTTGTATCTCATTGTTGGCACAAGTATGATGAGTTATTTATGCTTAACAACTTTCAATCAAACTCATTTAAAAATCAACAAAAAAGTCATGAAACATATCGACCTTAGGATCTCAAGCTATAGCATAATATCTAATACACACCAACAATGTGCCTATACACAAGAATATTCCTTTCCATTTAAATTTGAATCCTAAGTCAGGTTTGCTAACTCAGATGCTCGTCATCACCTTACACATTATGAATTTTACTTAAACAATAAAAAGTCATATGTATGGCATAACAAAGTTTATAAATTAAGTCTATTGAGTCATCATAATTTCTTTCAAAATTCATCCCTAACAATATATTAATTCTGGATAATATCCTACATGTTACCTCAATAACTAGGAATCTTTTATTTGTTTCTAAATTTTTTAAAGGTAACCATGTCTTATATGAGTTTCAATATGATAAATATTGTGTGAAATCTCAGGGTTCTAAGAACATTTTTTTTTGGAGGGATTCATTGTTGCCAATGGGCTATACTGCTTCCCTAAGCTAACACTGCAATCATGAAGGCCTGACTTTATCCCTAACAATAATAGTCTTTCCTATTATTCAAAATTCCTTTATTTCCAATTCTGAATTAGAAAGTACTAGTTTTTAGTTAGCAAGTTTAAATTATTTTGTTACAGGTTGTTCTTCAGTGGAACAATAATTGATCACCAATTCCTTCTCAGCTATCAACTCTCTTATCTTTTAAAACTAAATATTAATATGCTTGGACCGTCCTTGAAAAACTGAATTCTTACTCAGTGCAATAACTGACTTGTTGTCACAAAATATATTTGTTGGACTATTTTTCTTTTGGTGTATCACTTCTAAAAATTTCATCATTTTATTGGACGACCTTAATTCCAAGGAAATAGGACATTGGGCCCAAATTTGTCATTTCAAAACAACTTATCAAACCTCCATAAATTCTGTAGCCATCCTTGAATTATTGTCCGTAAAAATTAAATCATCAACATATAGGCAAACAATAAGAAAATCTCCATGCTCGAAGAATTTAATATATAACGTGTGCTCAAATGGACATTTATGTAAACCATTATGTACAAAATAAGAAACGATCTTCATATACCAAACTCTTGGTGCATGCTTCAAGTCATATAATGTTTTTTTCAATCTGTAAACTTTATCTTTCTTTCCTTTGACTACAAATTCAACATGCTACTCAAGATACATTTCTTCATCTTGGTTACCATTAAGATATGCATACTTAACATCCATTTGATGTATTTTTCAACTATTTTAAGCTGAGATCGAAATAAGCATTCAAATTGTATCTCTAGTGTTATAATTATAAAAGGCTTTGCCTAGGGCAATGTCTTTAGGCCACCATAGAATAGGTGAAGATAAAATGTCACTTAAGTTGAGGTATCGCCTTGCCCCCAGGGATCTTCTATCTTTCAGTCGTGGAAAACGTGGGATAAGACGTTTCTTGGTCAGAGAGAAGTCAAGGTCCTTAACTGACCCACATCTCTCTTGGAAATAGAGATTCAATGGTCCACTATTGATTTAGTGGGCGATGAACCTTTTCCAAGAAAAACCTTATCCTGAGACGCCTCTTTCTCTAAATACACCTCTCTTGAGGGAGGAAGGGGATATCTTAATCCATACAAATCATTACACCATAAAGCATAGCGCTTAGCAAGGCAATTAACCACCGTAAAACACCTTCATATAGGGCTTCTCTCCACCATGGAAAAGTAATAACCACCATATAACGTAATATACCTACAAAGGCCTCTGAGTCTCCCTGCCCTTGTAGAGGGAACACACATACCTGTACTTTTTTTACCATTATAGTGGGGCTCCAATAAAACTAACTTGGGCCGCACCTTCACTATAATCCATTTCATATTCCCTTTGAAGATGGACGACAAGACTCTAAAGTACAATATAAACATCATTATTTGAGGTTTCTCCGGGGGAGGTAGCTCTAGCGTTACCAGAAGAAAATACTATGTGATGAGACATATGTTTAATATTGTCTCTAGAGGCATTATCAATTCATGCACTAATGTATTAACTATCCATATACATGTAATTTATGTATATTTGTTAAGTTAATGGTATTGTTGTTATCTTATCATAATTTAAACTTTGTTCAAATTATAGGGGTTTAACGACAAAACACCATTCTCACAAGAAGATATATATGACATCTGATCACGTTAGGTCGGGGTCTTCCTGTCTTATCATGAATAAAGTAAACAATATTTTTTTTCTTTATTTACATCTATACATTAACATTGTATAAAGGTTTTGACACTATAGGTGTAAATATGTATAGGTTCAAATATGTATAGGTTTTATTGGTAAAGATTTTGTGTATCCCAAATGTGATTATAAATATTGTAAGTATTGTACCACTACTACAGAAAACACATATAATGACGGTTGCGAAACACATATAATGATGGTTTCACATCCGTTGTTAGGTAACATGTGATTGTATGTATGTTGGCTTTCACAACGGGAGAGTGATTGTGGTTATAAGTTAGGTAGCACGCTACTTATAACAACGGTTAAAGAAAACAACCGTTGTGAAATAGATTATATGTCCTGAGTTCGAATTCCAGCAACACCATTATTTCCTTTTATTATTCTGGATAGCGCGTGCTACTTATACTAACAGTTAAGTTAAAAACCGTTGTGATATTATTATTTTTTATACATACTTTTCAATTTTACAGTATTCCCAAATTTTTAACCTGAATATTTCTGAATCGTATTAGACCAGAAACAACAATACAACCATTTGTGAATTGAATTAGACCAAAAACTGTATTACATCAATAGCACAATTCCATTAGGAACCAAAAATTGTATATTACATCAAAACTAAAATGGCACATAACAACCTACAGTGCACACATCATTACATCAAATAATACTATCTTGTTGTGTTTGTGTCTTGACTTTAAACACCTATAAATTCAAATAATAATAATAATTGTTAGAAAATAACATCATTAGAAATTATAACATATATAAAATTATGAATGAAGAATATAAAATACTTACTTGTTAATTTTCATATACGCCTTCTTGATGATCGTTACAAATAACATGTACATCATTTCTATCAAATTCTTTATATGAAGTAGACACTTGTGTTACATAAGAAGGAGTGGAAGAAATATCAAAACTTTCATCATCACTGGGAGGAATATGTTTTTCTTCAAGAATAATTGACCATCTCCTCGATGATTCCACAAGGTCTGTCACATAAAAAACTTCTTTTGCTTGTGTAGCCATGATGAATGGTTCGGTATTTTAAGTTGTTTTGCCAAGGTCAACCCGTGTGAATCCTAACTCATCAGTTTGTACATCATTGTTATTGGGAGCCCACTTGCATTTAAATAAAGGCTCTTTCAAAATAATATAATCAATCTCCAAAATCTCCTTAATGACACCATAGAATGCGGTGGTTGCCAAAATATGATTCTTATATTTCGAACTAGAGAAATACATAGATTCGGCCTCAACCAAAAGCTCCCTATTTTGCATTGTACTATGATAATCTTTTGCTTTTATATAAAAGGAATAATTAGAAATTGCATTTGTCGTCCCAGTTATCACAGCAAATTTTGACATGTACAACAACCATTTAATTGTCTCGGATGCACAATCATCATTAGAAATCCTCTTATTAAACCAACTTATGAACTCCTTGTTATGTCGTGTCAACAACAAATTGTCATTCACTCAGGAATATTTTTTCTTTATAACTATTTTGTGAGTAGCTATGCAAGGTTCAACTACACTAAGATTATTCAATATATAGAAATGTGTTTGAAGTATTACATCCCAACCATTGACTTAACATTTAAACTTTGAGTACTTGTACCTTCAAATCAGCCAACATGATGAGAATTTGGAATTCCAATAGACTTTGTTTTCGACAAATAGTTTGAATAAAACTCAAGAGCTTCTTCTGTGATGTACCTTTCAATGATTGAAGCTTCTGGTAGGTGATGATTCTTCATATATCCTTTAAATATCTTCATGTATCGCTCTATAGGATACATCCACCTTAAATAAACTAGACCACAATATTTGGTTATAGTTACTCTTATATTTTTTTGGCAGAATGTCATTGGTAGAAGTTGTTGCATCAAGACATAACAATCATGAGTAAGCCAATTAACTTGAGATCTTTCATTAATACAAGTTTCTTGATGTTTGAAGAGTAACCTTGGGGAACTTTGATACCATGCAAACACTCGCAAAAAAAAATCTTTTCCTTTTTAGATAGAGTGTGACATGTCGGAGGCAAATAAGATCTTTTTCCTCTATCTTCTAGAGCTAATTGTTGTCATATAACCATCTCCACCATATCTAAACGGGAATTCTTATTATATTTAGTCTTTCCTAAAATTTTTAGAAGTGTTCTTATCAAACTATCACACATATTATTCTCCACATGCATCACATCCAGACAATGTCTTACATCAATTCTAGACCAAAATGAAAGATCAAAGAACATTGATCACTTTTTCCAAATATTTTTCTCAACGGGACCGTCTTTATTCTTGCCAAAGACAACAGTAAGGTGTTCTTGTCGTTGATATACTTCATCGCCAGTTAAAGATTCAAGAGTGCTTTCAAGCTCTTGGTCTTTGTTAAAAGCCTTTTGCAATCTACAATAAGGATGATTTGGTTTTAGAAATTTCTGATACCCAAGGTAAACTGTATTTTTTCCAAACTCAAGTTGGTGAAAACATGTATTGTGCAAAATAACATTGCATGCATCTTAAACTTTTCACCAGAATATGCATCATCAACGTCAACATCTTACTGTTGCAAGGAATCAACTACATGACGAATGTTTCCATCATATTTTATTTATCGGCGTGCCATCTAATATTATTTGCGTCATCCACATTAGCAAAAAGTCTATTTAACCTTAAAATTATTGGCAAGTACAATAACATTTTAACAAGAGGACGTTTTTTACTAAAATTATCATTGCATCACCATTGTTGTTCTTCAACTTGTAGCGTGACTCACCATATTCTGGACATTGATCCAAATTTTCATACTCTTTCCTGTATAATATGCAATCACTAGGGCATGCATGTATTTTGACATACTTCAAACCCATTGGACACAATATCTTCTTGGCCTCATAACAAAGATCCAACAAATTATTATCTTCCGGTAGCATTTGTTTTAATAAATCAAGCAATTATGTGAAACTTTTATCCGACCACCCATCTTTTGTCTTCAGATTAAACAATTTTAACAACACAAAAAATCGTGTAAAACTAGTGCACCCCTTATATAAAGGCACACCTTTGTCGATACATAAAGTATCATAAATATGGCTTTCATATAAGACGATTATCCAATATCACGAATCTTATCTTCTAGTCGATCATCCATATCATCATCCCCTTCATCCATTTGTGACGTTGCATTTCGATTATTATCCACTTCTCCATGCCACACCCATGTTGTATAATTTTAACATATTTCATCATAACATAAGTGATGTAATATTTATTTCTTTGGTCGTTTTCTGATATTCCCGTAAACAATAGAAGGACAATAAAAGATATCATTATTGTCGGGAACATTTTTTTCGGCGGATTCAAGGAATTCAAGAACTCCTTTCTCATACACTGGACCTAATCTATAGACTTTCAACCATCTTTTGTGAAACTTTTATCCGACCACCCATCTTTTGTCTTCAGATTAAACAATTTTAACAACACAAACAATCGTGTAAAACTGGTGCACCCCTTATATAAAGGTACATCTTTGTCGATATATAAAGTATCATAAATATGGCTTTCATATAAGACGATTATCCAATATCATGAATCTTATCTTCTAGTCGATCATCCATATCATCATCCCCTTCATTCATTTGTGGCGTTGCATTTCGATTATTATCCACTTCTCCATGCCACATCCATGTTGTATAATTTTGACATATTTCATCATAACATAAGTGATGTAATATTTCTTTTTTTGGTTGTTTTCTGATATTTCCGTAAACAATACAAGGACAATAAAAGATATCATTATTGTCGGAAACATTTTTTTCGGCAGATTCAAGGAATTCAAGAACTCCTTTCTCATACACTGGACCTAATCTATCGGCTTTCAACCAACTACGATCCATAATAAATTCTGAAATTTATATCAAAAGAATAATGTGAATGACACACTAAGGCTACACACATAATATCCTAATATGATTATATGCAAATACATATCCAACACCAAAACCTAAAGGATATTCACAAAATCTGAATAAAACATGAACATGGCAACATGAAAAATACGCATGACAATATCAATACATACAACATCCTAACGAAGAACATAAATATTGAGAAGTATCACATAGACAGAATGATAAATAACCCTACCGAAGAACATAAAATTTCAAGAGTGTTAGAGAGAGAGAGACGTATAATGTACCATAATTCGAAGAGGATGGCGATTTCGTTTCCAGAAATGAATGGAGACGATGAATATTTCACTATCATTGTCGTCCCGTTCGCTAGGACACTATTGTGTGTTATGAACGAAATGAAGTACTATTATGTTTTAATTTTGTGGGAACTAATTTCACAATGGTTCAAGCCTCAACCGTGGTGAAATATGGAACATATAGCCACATTTGAGTGAAACAACCGTAATTATTATACTTTCAATTTTTAAATTACAATAAATGTGAAGGAACACACACTTATTTTTATTGAAAGAAAGAAAAAATGTTAATGGTAGAATTCGAAGTTTGTCGTCCAAATTCTATGACCACAATTGTTTTTAAGAACCGTGATGAAAAGTTTCTTAAAAAAACAAAAAAAGAACATCGCATAAAAAATGTGATATGACTATGATAGAAAAATAGTCATTGTAATATTGTGTCATCGAATGTATATTTTTTACTAGTGTACGTTTGGTTTTGTAAACCATATAAATTTGATATTCTATTTTATGTTTTGTATAAAATACAAATGATCTAATTCTATCACATAATTTATGATTTCTGTATAAAAAATATTAAGATCAATCAGAATAAGATTTAAAAAAAACAAAACAAAAAGATTGATTAAACCCCTTAGTTATTAAAAAAATCTGACGTACATATGAGCATATTTTCCTCATTTATTTAATAAAAATACTTTTGATTTTTAAGTTTAGATAAATCTCATAAACTCCATGCACCTTTATCATCAATTATTTATCATACTTCCTTTAATGTCATTCCTTTGATATTATGCACATTGATTAATGGGGACTCTCTCCTTTGTGACTCTCTTCGGTTGAAGAAGATATTAGTCTGTACTCAATTTATTAAAAAAATGAAGTGCCTTAAAAAATTGGTAATTATTTTAATTAAATATTAAAGAATACCATATATAATTGTTTATCATATTCAAATAATTCAATCGTGACTGATTGAATTCCATTTTTTTAAAAATCTCAACTCAATACAAATTGAAGATTGAACTGAAATGGGTAAATGTAGCAAAGGTAATGCAAAGCTACACTCAATAAAAATCTTATAACTAGAAAGTTCTTCGAACCCTTTTCACTTTGTCACTCACTCTATCCACCATTCATCAATGGCAACCCTCATCAACCTTTCTTCTACGCAACTTCTCTCTTTTCACCGCTTACCCTCTTTTTATCCCCGAAATACCCCTACGCTTTCACTCAATTTACACCCCAACTCTTCTTCAAACCTACGCCCAATTTCCCTCAAACCCTACCACCATTCACAAAAGCCTCAGAAATGGATGGTGGCCATGGCAGTGAAAAACCTCGGCGAGACCGAATTAGTGACAGTGACACCGGAAAACGATGGGCCCGCCGGAGAATTGCCTCCGGAAGCCGGAGTTTATGCTGTTTATGACAAAGACGGCGAGCTTCAGTTCATCGGTTTGTCGCGTAACATTGCCGCCACTGTTTTGGCGCACCAGAAATCGGTTCCAGAGCTTTGTGGCTCCGTTAAGGTAAGAATCTCAGTGATGGAGTTTGAGTTTTGAATTGAAGTGTTTTGATTCAATGCTATGATTTTTGTTGATAGATTTCAGTTATTAATTATCATTTATTAAGGAAAAATCATACTTTTTGAATAAAAAGAAAATATTCAAACTTCAAAACAATTTGTGGCAGTAATGTAACTTAATTATGCTTGTTTACTTTCAATGACTTCAAAGAATAATTGAGCTGTTGATTGTTTTGAAGATTTGCGATAGAATTCAGGTGATATATTATATATACACTCTCAAGGTTGAAGAAAGAGAGAAAACTTGCATAGGATGTACATCTGCAAAATCCTCTTAGAATAGATGTTGAAGGAAGGAAAAGAAAGTTAGGGTTTCTTCATATTATAAGAAAATGGGTAGGGATATTAGTTCGTTTTTGGGATAGAGGCTATGAGCTACATTATGCTTTCCATGGTAACTAAGCTAAGAAAGAGTATTTAAGTCCTTTTTTGTAGTAAGGGATTGCAACATGCTGCCACAGAATTGATTTCTGCTTTTACTTCTCGACAAGGGTAATGGTAATGACAAGGGTTATCTCGAAGCCCTATAGTCAAGGCTATTTACCCTTATACTAATGAAAAAGATACTTATCAGGCACTCTTTTCTTTTATAGCATTTCATAAGCAATGAAAATAATAGATCAGTGGTTTTAGTCAATGTCATCAAATATCAGGCATGGCGGATTGTGGTGCCAGATTTTTTGACAATTGTCATGGCCCATGGCCAATTTGTGAAGGATGGTGTATTTTTGACTTCCCTCCATCCGACGTCAATTTCACTGGTTCTGATACAGTAATAGAGATGAAAGGAAAGACAGGCAAACAAATCTTGTTACTCTGTTGGTCTGTTATTATTGATGGGTGAAACTGTGAATTCTTGAAAATCTTATTTCAAACAGGAATATTAATTGACATATAGTTTCAACTACTAGGAAAAACATAAGAAGGAGAATTGTATATCTTCACTTATTTTTAGGTTTGTTTCTTAAGCAAATAGGGCTAAAAGACAAATGCCATATGAGACCCTGTTCAACACAATTAGCGGGCTGTTAAACACAATCAGTGGGCACATGTTAGTGAGGTGTGAACCCACGATATGGAGTGTTGAAAGAGTATTTTGTCATTCCTTATAATTATGCTTCTTAGTTGCTTGCTTTCCTGTTGTTTCACTCATAACTCATATTGGACGTGTTAAGAAATGTGGTTGGGCTTAACTCAACCCTACAAAATTGGCTTGTTGGGTAAGAATTGCCCCCACTTATAAGCACATGTTCAGGATATATATTGTCCGATGTGGGACTCTTAACACACTCCCAGGACTAGACAACTGGAGCGTGAAAGTAAATGGTGGGTGACTCGATAACGGAAACTTAATAGCAGGTGACCCACCGGATTTTAAATCAGGCGCTTGATACTATGTTAAGAAATGTGGTTGGGTTTAACTCAATCTTACAAAACCGGCTTGTAGGGTAAGGATTGCCCCCACTTATAAGTACGTGTTTAGACCATATATTGTCCGATGTGGGACTCTTAATAGGATGAATAAGTTTTCCCTCAAATTTATTGCCACGTTCCTTTCGTCCTAGTTCTTGTGAAACACCACTTGTATTCCTTCTTTCCTTTTCTTTCTCTTCATTTCATGCTTTTTTTAGCATTGAGCTTTGTGATATTTAAAGAGATGCATAGTAAAATTTTCACCTTCATACGAAGTATCTTCTTCATGATCACAATCTTTTTTGATATGCTGGTTCTAGAGAATAAAAGGCCATAAGAGAACCCTCAACAACCAACCATGTAGAGGGATCATGTGAGGAAGAGGTGTGGGGCTCGAGCAAATCATCATGAGAGAGTTGAGGCGGCTAGCTGTTAGAGAATTTTTTTATAGGTAGGGGGAGGGGATGCCACAAATCATTGGGTATCTTGTCATTCTGGAAAGTAGGAGTATGCCGATCTTGTAGGAGTTTTATCCCTCTTGTTTTGTTAGCAAGCATGCACCTAGTATAACCCACGCGTCACAACCCACATGTCTTATTTCTGTTTTTTAAAGTACAATTGTAATCTACAAAAAACAGTATTTGGAAGTGATATGATCTGCCAAAACCTATTGCCTTTTTTTGAGTCCAAAAACTATTGACTTTTTAAAAAAATAAATACTCTTGCACTGTTTCAGTTCTGATCACGATCACCATTTTCCAAATCTTCAGTAATATTACTATCCTTATGATGAATTTTTCATTGTGGAATTGTTTGCTGTAGGTTGGGGTAGTGGAAGAACCTGACAGAGAAGCTCTAACCCAAGCATGGAAGTCATGGATGGAAGAACACATCAAAATCACAGGCAAAGTTCCACCTGGTAATGAATCCGGAAACGCCACTTGGATAAGACAACAACCTAAGAAGAAGCCTGATCTTCGATTAACACCCGGTCGTCATGTGCAACTAACTGTCTCTCTTGAGGAGCTCGTCGACAAATTGGTTAAAGAGAACAAGGTAGTTGCATTCATCAAGGGATCAAGAACTGCGCCGTTATGCGGATTCTCACAAAAGGTGATAGGTATTCTCGAAAAGGAAGGAGTAGATTATGAGAGTGTCGATGTGTTGGATGAAGATTATAACTATGGATTGAGGGAGACAGTTAAAAAGTATAGTAACTGGCCTACATTCCCTCAGATATTTTTGAATGGTGAACTTGTTGGTGGTTGTGATATATTGACATCCATGCATGAAAAAGGTGAAGTGGCTGGTTTGTTCAAAAAATAATTATCTGTGCAAGTGAACTTGCATTTTTAGGCATTCTTTTGAAATGAGGAACTAGCTAGCTAGGAGTAGAATGTGTGGAACATTAAGGGAAGGAGAAATGTTGGTCATGTCTTTTTGTATTAATCTTTTAAGTACAAGGGTAGAAGGAAAATAAATAATTATATGTATATTTTATTTCAACCATAGTAGAAAATGCTTGTCTTTTTTTTCTTTCATATGTGCTGCAAATTTGTCTTTTACAGCCTTTGCAAAATATTTTTCTGGTGCACTAAGGTTATCAATGGCCAAGGATGAAACCCTTGAGTACAGAGATTTATTTAAGGATTCTCCTACTTCAACCTTTACACATTGCCAAGGTTAATTTGGTAACAACACTTAAATTCTTAAATAATATTTTTATAATACAAACTAAACAGTATTTTGTAACAATACATTGCTAAGGTTAATTTGGTGGCTCGGATGAGAGAATTAATCTTTCTTGTTCTACTGCCTTTTTTCTCAGTTTAGCAAAATCTTTTGTCCTACTTTGTTTGTCGTTTTATATCTTCAAAGAAGTTTTCATTTTTTTTCTTTCTTTCATTTATACCTTTATCTCTTTTTAGGATACATATTTATGAATAAATAATAAAATGTTTATTTAAAAGAAGAAATGAAATGCATAATTGTACTTTATACACAGTTTTATTTATGAATAAATAATAAAATGTTTATTTAAAAGAAGAAATGAAATGCATAATTATACTTTATACACAGTTTTATTTTTATTTTTTATGAAATCTACAGCACAATGGACCATAAGATGTGAAACTTGAACAAATTGAGATTAGAGAAAGACAATCAGAAGTAAAACTGTTATTGATGGAATGAACAGGTGAAAGAGAGAGGCTGAAGTTTCTCTTCCACATATTATGCAGATTTTTTTCTTTAAAGAACCTTACCTTCTCAGTATTTAGTCACATGGTGATATATGTTCTAAAAACACAAGACTAATAAGCAAGAAGAATTAACTAATGTTGATAACTTCTTCCTTTGCTGTGATGCATCTGTTAGTTGCAGCTGTATTGATATCAATAGTTTCTTTTGCTAATGCATTAACAAGAAATGACTTCCCTCCTAACTTCTTGTTTGGTGCTGCAACTTCATCTTCCTTTGCTGTGATGCATCTGTTAGTTGCAGCTGTATTGATATCAATAGTTTCTTTTGCTAATGCATTAACAAGAAATGACTTCCCTCCTAACTTCTTGTTTGGTGCTGCAACTTCAGCTTATCAGGTTTCAACTCAATTCCTTTTAAAGCTAATTTTGTATTAATATCTTGTATTTTCAATGATGTGATTTTTTAAAGGTTGAAGGTGCAGCAAATGAAGATGGCAGGAAGGCAAGCATATGGGATACCTTTGCACATGCTGGCAATGGTGCTCTTTCTCATCTTTTTCTATTATATTACACTTAACCTTGTTATGAAGTCATAGACATTGAAATTCTTTGTTTCGATTAAATTTACAGCAGGGTTATTCGAGGGAAATGGTGACATTGCATGCGATCAATATCACAAATACAAGGTCAGTAGATATGGAATATAGCAAGCAAGTTTCTCATGTTTGACATATCAAAAGACTGGTTTATGCATGCTTTCGTTTCTTGCAGGATGATGTCAAACTCATAGCGAAAATGGGCTTAGATGCCTATAGATTTTCCATATCATGGTCAAGACTAATTCCAGGTATGAAAGATTGTTGCATCATATAATCAAGACTAATTTCTAAAATAATGTCAAGAGTTAATTGTACTTTGTTTGAATCTATAATTTTGTAGCTTCTTGAATCAACTGTTTGTTATTCTTCTGACCTTGATCTCATTTTATACCAGACGGGAAAGGGCCTATAAATCCGAAGGGACTGCAGTATTACAATAACCTTATCAACGAATTAACAAGCCAAGGTTCTTTTGCAAACTAGATTTACACTGTAAAGTTCAATTACAGATTGCTGAAAATATCAGTTTGTTCAATCTCGCAGCTGATATATTTGTTACAAGTACAGTATCGCAGAGCTGAGATTTTGTTCAAACTCTGATCCGACAACACTCGATTCAATTAATTTCCACCTTCATTTGTAGGAATCCAACCACATGTTACATTGCATCATTTGGATCTACCACAAGCACTTGAAGATGAATATGAAGGATGGGTTAGTCGAAGAATTGTGTACGATTCTCAAACTATATTCAACACAAAATAAGGAAAACAATACTTGTATATTTACCTTATGCTATCTTGCAGAAAAGACTTCACAGCATATGCAGATGTATGCTTCAAAGAGTTTGGAGATAGAGTTAAATATTGGACCACCGTGAATGAGGGGAATGTGGGTGCACAAGGGGGCTATGGTTTTGGATTTTTACCGCCTCAAAGGTGTACTCTTCCCTCTATATATAATTGCTCCAAAGGCAATTCTTCAACTGAGCCATATTTGGCAGCGCATCATATGTTGTTAGCACACGCATCAGCTGCGAGATTGTATAGGAAAAAGTATCAGGTAAACCAATATATCAGACATACACCATTTTGCTTTGTCAATCATCTAAGTGTGTGTTTGCGAAACATTAAAATCACGGTGGAAACTCATGGTGGAACAGAAGCTACACATAACAGCTCAAAATCACGATGAAAAAGGCCTTAAACATGCAACAGCGGTGACCCACCCACATTACCAAAGATAGGCTAAATATTTTCACATTTAGATCATGATTATTCTTGATATTTTGTAAGATGATAGTTATAATATCATTTTTCACTATGATAATCAAAGTATCTTTTGTCTAATAATGCAACCGATGGTACTTGCAGGTCAAGCAACAAGGTTTTATTGGGATTAATCTCCTTGTTTTAGGTGTGATTCCGCTAACAAATACTAGTGAAGACATTATTGCCACTCAGAGAGCTCAAGACTTCAGTATTGGGTGGTAAGCAACAAAATGCATGGGATATCTATCTCTACTACTATAATTACACATATGATTGGTTCTAGTTTGCTTAGTATATCAAAATTAAAAAACTCTATCCATAAACATTCCACGCTAAGTTTGTCTTACCAATTTATTACGAACAACTATTTCTTTATACAATAATGAATTACAAGACTTGTTTTTTTTTTCCTCTGCATTTTTGTGACAGGTTTCTGAGTCCCTTAATATTTGGAGAATATCCTAACACCATGAAAAAGAATGTTGGCTCAAGGCTTCCTTTCTTCACAAGTAGGGAATCAAATTTGGTTAAGGGCTCAATAGACTTTCTTGGAGTCAACTTTTACAGCTCATTTTATATTAAGAACAACCCTGGCAGCCTGAAGAAAAAGAATAGAGATTACATAGCAGATTTGGCCGTGGAAGTTAAGCGTATGATTATTTCTGTCATTTACTGCACCAATTTTGATTGCATAACCAACTCTATATTGAAATTAATCAAGTAACATACACATGCATGTCTATTTATTAAACTCTGATAGGCTAAATCAGTGTTTGGTATCCTCTTTCTTCCAACTTTGAGGATCTTTAATCTATTAATGTTTTTTTGCATGATTGTAGCCTACTCTGGAAATGGTACATTTGCAGATGAGGTAAAACTAGAATACGAAAATCTTGGTTACTTTTATTTTTCGAGCATTAAAGCTTCAACCTATTCCACTTACTAGCTGATTTGTTTGCTTAGCTTCCAGTTACACCCTGGATTTTGCAAGGGATGCTTCATTCGTTGAAGAACGATTTCGGAAATTTTCCCATTTACATTCACGAAAATGGTATGCCTTCCTTTCCAAGGCAACAATACCGATAGACACAATATTCATTTCTACTTGTACGCATTAAATCAGTAACATCAAAATTGTGATGGCTTATGAGGAAATATCTGAACTTCTCAGGTCAACTAACATTAAGGAATTCATCGTTAGATGACTGGCCAAGAGTTAAGTATATACATGAATACATAGGGGGCATGCTTGATATGTTGAGGTACCTCTATTTTTTACTTTCAATTAAGGACTTCACAAAGTTTTTGATATCTTAACATGATCTTCATTTCTAATATTCTTTTGTTTTTTTTCTGCTTTATTTTGATGAATGCACACATTAAAGAAACCAAAGTCTTTATTGATTATTTTTCTTGAATTCTAATGGAGCGGTTTTTATTATCGCATTGATAGGAATGGCCTGAATATTAGAGGTTATTTCGTATGGGCCTTTTTAGATGTATTTAAATTACTAAATGGATTTGGACGAAGTTTTGGTCTATATTATGTGGATTTTGAAGAGCCAACCTTGAGGAGACAACCTAAACTTTCTGCTGTGTGGTAGTCAAATTTTCTAAACAATAGATCTATGGACTCAAAGATCGCCATGAAAACTGAGGAGAATTCATCTGTGAATTTTATACTCAAATAACCCAATTTTTTTTAAAAGAAATTCCAAAATAATCCACATTTTAAAATTATTCCCAAAATACTCCAGTTAGAATTTGGGATTACACAAGGGCGCCAGATGAATTGGCGACACCTTGTTAAGGCTATAAGGGAGTCGCCAATTGGTCTGGAGACTCCTCATGCAGTCTCAATTTCAATTGGTGACCGAGTGTTGTACTTACAAGGGTGCTGCCAATTCATCTGGAGACCCCTTATATTTTGAAATTTTTTTCTAAAAAATAAATACTACTTCCAAAAATAATTAATAAAATAAGTCGGAGGGAAAAATAAATGTTATCATTAATTAAAAAAAGGTATTACATAAACTAATGTTGGCGACCGGGTTGGTCATATTGGCCACCGGTTCCACATCTCCTAGACACCCTAACTCGTTGCGCTCGCCCTCCTCGTTGTTGATTCATGCCTTGTGTTTGAAGAGTTGAAGTCTCAAGAACATTCTCAAATGGTTCTCGAAGGATCTCTTGCATTTTCATTAGGTCCTGTGTGTTGAAACTGAGCGTGTGCGACCCATGCCAGAGTAGTTCGGATGTGATGAAGGGGTCATTGGTGTGCAACCTGGACAGTTGAAGGGAGACATTGGTGTGAATGATTCGTTGATGAAAGATTGAAATAAGGTTGTTGAGATGGTTGAGTGGACAGGCCAGGGTATGATGTCAGAGTGTTTTGGCTATGGAAAGATGTTTGGGCGTTATGGCTATATCTTGATGTTGTGTTGGGGTCATAGTCATATTGGGATTCTGGGTAGTAGTTAGTGTGTGGGAGATGGTATGAGGGACGTTCTTGGTATTGTGGTCGGGTGTTTGGCATGTTTAGATGGTGAATGGGTTGGTAACTCTGTTGGGTAGGGGCTGTGAGTAACATGACCTCACAACCCCCTACCCAATAGAGTTACCAACCCATTCACCATCCAAACATGTCAAACACCCAACCACAATACCAAGAACGTCCCCCATACCATTTCTCACACATTGACTACTACCCAGAATCTCAATATGGCTATGGTCTTAACACAACATCAAGATATAGCCAGCCATAACGAGGGTACATCATACTATAGTCATAACGCCCAAACATCTTTCCATAGTCAAAACGCTCTGACATCATACCCTGCCCTAACCACTCAACAACCTTATGACTTTCAAACACCACTACCATTTCAATCTTTCACCAACGAATCATTCAAGTCCCCCTTCAACCGTACATACCGCACACCAATAATCCTTTTATCACATCCGAACTACTCTGGCATGGGTCGCACGCTCAGTTTCAACACACAGGACCTAATGGAAATGCAAGAGATCCTTTGGGAACCATCTGAGAATGTTCCTGAGACTTCAACTCCTCAAACATCAGGCGTGAATCAACAACGGGGGGGACAAGCGCAACGAGTTATGGTGCCTAGGGGATTTTGGAAGTATTTATTTTTAAATTTAAAATACAAGGGGTCTCCAGATGAATTGACGACGCCCTTGTAAATACAACACTCAGTCGTCAATTGGAATGGAGACTGCATGAGGAGTTTCCAGACTAATTGGCGACTCCCTTATAACCTTAACAAGGTGTCACCAAGTCATCTGGCGCCCTTGTGTAATTCCAAACCCTAACTGGGATACTTTGGAAATAATTTTTAAATGTGGGTTATTTTGAGAATTTTAAAAATTGGGTTATTTGGATAAAAAATTCTTCATCTGTACTCGCCAACACTTCCTTAGTTCATATTGCCACTTAAAGTAACTAGGTCTAGTTCAAATATATAGCCTCCTCCTTCTTTTTTCTTTGTAATATTTTGGTTATTTGTGTCCATGTGAAAGAAAGGTGCATGAATACTGGTTTGTAAACTTGTGTATATAAAGATATGTTAGGTATGTTATATGCCTGATAAAACTTTTATATAAAGATATGTTTGATAGAAATATATGCAGTCTTCAATATTGCTAAGTCTGCATCGTTTTTGAGGAACTTGTGGATAAATTGGTAAAAGAGAATAAGATAGTTGCATTCATCAAAGGATCAAGAAATGCGCTATTATGTCGATTCTCGTGGAAGGTAAATGGTATTCTCGAAAAGGTATATATTGAACACAATGTGAATGACATCAATGTAAAAGTAGTTAATGAATGACATCACAATGTGAAGAGATTGAATCAAGTGATAGAGAAGATGAACTAGAAAAAGTGACGATGATGCAATGAGGGTTAGATTTGATGATAGTGAGTATGAGAGAACAAATGAATTGAATGATGAATTTGAAGTCATTGAAGTTGATAGACCCAAAAATGATACAAACGAAGTTGAAATAGGTTAATCATATAGGATTCAAGTTTGTGCCAAAAAGTCACCCAAAAAGAAGCTGAAACCAAGGATTTCCAAAGCTCATAAAATGAAGGATTCTCAAAGAATGGATGAAGAAAAAGAGCAATATAGAATGGATGAAGAAAAAGAGCAATATGTGAGTGATGAAATGGGTAACTCAGACCCATATGCTTCTCAAGATGAAACATTTTCAAAGTATGAAACGTTTAGGAATGAGAAATTAAGTAAGGATTATGAGTTTAAGTTAGGTATATAATTTAATTCCTAAGAAATTTCAAGGATATAATAATAAAGCAGTCAGTTTTAGATAGAAGAGAAATTACATTTGTCAAGAATGAAAGTTTCATGACCAGGATAAAATACAACGGAAATGTGGTTTTTTTGGCTATGTGCCTTAAAGTAGGTGACAATCATACTTTTCAAATAAAAACATGGATGACCACCTACACTTGTGCTAAGATATTGAATAATAGAAATGCAAAGTTCAAGTAGGTTGCAAAGACTGCGGTGTGAAGTTGCATGCCGCTGCTATATTAAAGGGGTGACTATGCATGTATATGCTATATGGTTTTGTTGCTTGTCCTTTAAGTTTTTTTTTAGTTTTATTTTACATCATTGAGTCTCTTCTTCAATTGCGCATTTCTCCATCGAGTTTTGGATCTATATATTTTAGAATGCATAATTTAAATTGTTTGTGTTTGAGTATGAACAGTATGATTTAAGTCACTTAGTCTAGTTTTTGGATCAATATTTGAGATTGGTTTAAGGCATGACATCAGTGAAATCTCGAAACAACTCGAAGTTGAAAAAATTCAAATTTTAGGTGTGTGATTCAAATCACACACCATATGAGTCGGATCAGAAGGAACAATGGAAAATCATTTTTTTTTTGACAAAATTCTTTTAATATTTTTTTAAAATACACCAAAATAATTTCTAATGATAGTTAGCATTTTAAGATTTAATTCTTAAATTAGGTTTTAATTTTTAAATTAGGATTGAATCTCCTAATTAGGATTAGATTAGGTTTAGTAGAAATTAGGGTTTCATAGCATTAGTCATTATCTTTTATTTTTTTGTCTTTAATTTATAATTCATGATGAAATGGCTTGAATAAATTCTTGCTTGCTTGATGAATAAAATGACCTATAATGTCTTTGCATGTTTTCTTAGGTTCTTTATTCAATTAATTGATTAATATCATTTGATTAATTAATTGGATTAGAAAGACTTTAGAACTTATACTATGCATAATTCTTTAAGTCAAATACGAAGTCCCCATTCTAAATCCCAGAAGATAGGACAATTAATGTAAGACAACATTAGGCTTTATTCCCCATCTTTTGTACCATATTCCTTTCTGTTAATCATGTTCTGTCCCTTATTCATATAAAACTAAAAAAAAAATTTGCAAATAAAACAATAAAAATACTTAACAAATACGATACGAATTGTGCGCCATGAGCCTTAAGAAATGGAGAAGAATGAAATGGTGTATTCCTATCCTCATTCTGAATATCTTTGGATACGGGATGCATGACCCATATGTTCAAAGTATTCACCTTCATTCATAGACTTTAGTGCAATTCAAATCAAGGTTATTTTCACAATAAAAGGAAGAAAAAAAATGATGATGTAGAGTCTCTCTCTCTCCGAGTGATTCAGACATTTCTGTAGAGCTTCTTGTCTGAATATCTGTCTTCAGACAAAAATCAATCACAACCAATATCAAAAACTTTCTATAATAATTCTCCCTTGGTTTCAATACAACTCCTTTTGGTTTTGACACCTATACTCTCCCTTTATTATGTTTTCCTTGTTAATCCCCTGATTTAGGCAACCTCTTATTCTCGTTTGCCTTGTTAATTCCCTAATTTAAACAAACTCTTATTCTAGTGTGCCTTGTTAATCCCTCTGGTTTAGGCAAGCCGTTATTCCCCTTTGCCTTGTTAATCTCCCGTTTAGGAAAACTTTTACAATACTTCCTTGGTTTAGACACCACTTCCTTAATTCAGACACCTCTTTCTTGGTTCAAACACCACTTTTACAATTCTTTGTCTTTGGTTCAGACACCACTTTGACAATTTTTTGTCCTTGATTCAAAACATCAATTTATTTTCATAAAAGAAATATTATAATTCATTCCTTAGCATTCGAACTAACAACTTAGAGCATCCGAATCAGGATCAAACAGCTAACATCAAAATACATTTAGGATACGATTATAACATTGTTCCCTAAAATCAACCAACAAATACTTATTTTCTACTTCACGAACTACGAAGCTCTGATATTTTCATTGCACTATGAGGATATGTAGACACATAATTTCGAAATCTTGGCAAGCACATTAATTAAAAAAATATTTTTTTCTCTTAATTAAAACCATTCACAAGTAACCTTTAGATAATAACACTCATTTGTGCAAAGAACAATCAAAACGGTTCCTGTTGAGTACAATGAATGTGAGGGATGTTAATATCTTCCCCTTGCATAACCAACTTTCATACCCTTTTCTCTTCTCTTTGGGTTTAATTTATATTTTCCATTTCTCTTAGAATA